TGTCCAGAGAGCGGAGAGATGAAGAACTGCCTGGTCGGGCTGGGGCGGCCGCGCTTAAGTCACTGTGCAGCGCCTAAGGGCTAGGCGCTGCACGTCAAAGTGTGGCACCCAGGCCTTAGGCGCTGCACAGGTGCGTGTGGGACCGCAACTGGACCAGGGCTGCCACGCTGGCAGGATGTGCGACGCCCAAGGGAAGGACGCTGCACAGTAGGGTGCGGCGCCCAGCTGTCGGGCGCCACACCAAAGGATCAGCAGAGTAAAAAATTTTCATGACCAAGTCAGTTTGTGATTTGATTTGGGTCTCAGGTCAAATATGTGATTTGGGCCTGCCCACTACGCAACCGAGCAGCGGCGGGCGCCCCTTCGCAGGCGGCAAGGGCCACTGCTTCCCGGCCGGGGAAGTTGTCCCGCTAGCTAGCTCAGTTGACAGTGCATAGGACAGACGGAATTATTTATTTCATAAGCAAGGATAGATGGAGCAGTGACCAGTTTAAGGTACTGTCTCGTCGGCGCATTAAAGAAAGCCTTGCATGCAATGCCATGCACACATGCATGCGGGGAAGTAGAGTAGTAGCGCGTGAAGTCTGTTCGATCTCTCGTTTGGGTTGTAGTGGGCGGATCCTTACACGAGATCTGTCCGGTGATTTTTCCAGCGCGTGCACGTTTCGCACATCCGTCGAGTTTTATTTATACGACGAGATCGATCGAGCCGGCCATCTCTGGACTGGTCCAATGTTCAACCTCGCAATAGCGCAATAACGGCCGATCTCCACTGTCGTGAGGAGGACGTAGTATCTTCTTTGGGGAATGGAAATATGGACGCCCTTACGTGTTGACAACGCATGCACGCTGGCCCCATGAGCATATATCCTTCTTCCGACATGGGACGTACGGGATACTGTATCCGGCCGAGTGCGCTCGCTACACAGAAAGAAGGAATACAGAAAAAAGGGTATGGATTCATCAGGAATCAAATAAACCCGGCATGGCTCACGGGAGATGCGGCGGAGCGCTCGTTGGTTCTCCTGTCCTGTCCACCCACGATTGCCTTTTCCATGGCGCCGAGTTGTCGCCGCGTCAGAGGCCTCGTGTTTCTTTCCCTCCTTCCATCAGCGATCCGTCGCCGCGGAGTGGTGGTTTCCGGCAAAGCGATCGGTCCCCGTGTTGGCGCCATCTCTCCTTGCAGCGCCGCACTTCTTCTTCTTCCTCTCCTCTCACAACTCTCACTTGTCTTTCTCTCTTCTCAAGAACACACACAAGGGAAAGAAGACTCAACACACACACACACACTTCACCGTGGAGAAAGCCAGCTTTGCTATGTTGCTCCCGGTGAGAACACACACACTACATTGTTTTTCCTAGCCCTCTCGGCTTCAACTCAAACAACAAGCTTTACATCTCTTATATAGAGACTCACGCGCACACACAGCCACGGCCACACCGGCCACTAACCCACGCACGCACCACTAACTAATCCCTAGCTACATGCACTACATGCACGCCCACGTCCAGACTACACGGCCAAGCCGTTCAACTAACCGACTGCATGCAACCTGACCAATTTTCCTGGCTCCAACTTGATCTATCCAGCCAGCCGGTTTGGCTTCATCCTGCACGCGTCTCGCCGCTTCCCACGGCTATACCACCCCGGCATCAAGCCTTGCGCCGTATCACACGGCACCGCGCCTTCACGCCGTCATCGGCAGCCCGGCATCTCGCGGTCTCCGCATGCCTCCGCTGAAACTTCACCGGACTAGCTACTCTCTAACCTATGCAACATGCATAACAAAAGCAAACTAAATATGCAGATACATGAATCAAGATTAAACCTAACATTTTCCCTCCTAATCTTGATTCTCCAATCTTCACGCGGTTCACCCGCTGCCACTTGACGACACAATCGCGGCGCTGCACACCTTTCCTGGACCGACGCCATCGCAGCGCCCGCGTCCATCACCATGTACTCTTGCCGCACACAGCGGCCACCTCTTGACGTGGACGACGTTGTCGCAGCGCCGATCACCACGCCGTCTTCGCCAAGCGGCATCGCACCGCAACTTTTGTTGGCTTCACACCAACTTTCCATGATGACGATGGCATCACACCACCGTCGTCGGCATCACGCCGACTCTTCTTGTGGCAGCTTCGCACCGCCATCTTCACATAGCGGCACCGCATAGCCACCATCCTCCTTCTTGCGCCGCCGGCCTCCATCTCGCATGAAGTCCGTCGCGCCACAACCGACGCCGTCGCAGCGCCGGTCACCACGGACCATCTTGTCGTGGATGACGTCCTCGCGACGCCGATCATCGCACCACCTTCATCTCGCGGCATCGCACCGCAACCGGCCGCCCGCGGCATCGCGCCCCTGCCAGCCATCACCTCGCGTCGGTGTCCTCCACCTCCGATGGAGTCCACCACGTCGCCGCCGCCGCCGCGGATCAACCTGGCTCTGTATACCAATTGTTGGCGCCATCTCTCCTTGCAGCGCCGCACTTCTTCTTCTTCCTCTCCTCTCACAACTCTCACTTGTCTTTCTCTCTTCTCAAGAACACACACAAGGGAAAGAAGACTCAACACACACACACACACACTTCACCGTGGAGAAAGCCAGCTTTGCTATGTTGCTCCCGGTGAGAACACACACACTACATTGTTTTTCCTAGCCCTCTCGGCTTCAACTCAAACAACAAGCTTTACATCTCTTATATAGAGACTCACGCGCACACACAGCCACGGCCACACCGGCCACTAACCCACGCACGCACCACTAACTAATCCCTAGCTACATGCACTACATGCACGCCCACGTCCAGACTACACGGCCAAGCCGTTCAACTAACCGACTGCATGCAACCTGACCAATTTTCCTGGCTCCAACTTGATCTATCCAGCCAGCCGGTTTGGCTTCATCCTGCACGTGTCTCGCCGCTTCCCACGGCTATACCACCCCGGCATCAAGCCTTGCGCCGTATCACACGGCACCGCGCCTTCACGCCGTCATCGGCAGCCCGGCATCTCGCGGTCTCCGCATGCCTCCGCTGAAACTTCACCGGACTAGCTACTCTCTAACCTATGCAACATGCATAACAAAAGCAAACTAAATATGCAGATACATGAATCAAGATTAAACCTAACACGACGTCATCGCATGATCGAGATGCCAATGCCATGGCGCGGCGCCATCGATGGACCCGTCGCCGCGGGCGCACATAGATAGAGATAGATCATGGCATCACGTGAACTGTGAACGGACAAAATTACTGTTCTGACCCTTAAGGCAAACTAAATCTCGATTTGACCTCGTTCCAAATTTTTTTTCGTTTCTGACCTTTTTCGGTGACGCCAAGGTCCCTGGCGTCTGGGTTACGAAGCAGACGCCACGGTCCCTGGCGTCTGGCCCCTGGCCCGCACTGCCCGCCTGCCCGTTGACCTGCTGACGTGGCAAAGGGGCCAGACGCCAGGGTCCCTGGCGTCTGGCCCCGGTAAGTGGATAACACACTTATATCTTTGCATTCCCGCAGGCATAAATTGATGAGGATACTCCGGTTAAAGCTGAAGCCAGGTTGGACTCACGAGGAGTGGTCGGAGTTGGTGTCTGAAGACCCAGAGACTGCAGAAGGTTATCATACCTTCAACACGGCTGTGAGAGACACCAGAGGGGCTCATGTTGACTACGCACCGATGCATGACGAAATGGTAGTCTGTTTGACCTATTCTAACATACTTGCATCATGTTGTCTTCTTTCAAATACATAAGTTTGGTGTGTTCATGAATTGCAGGGCAGAGAGTTGCTTCTGTGCGTCAATGATGCCAATGTTGCACTGAGTCATCCACCTGGTGGTGCATTATCTGAGAGGACTCTTAGGAGCACGATGGAGGTTAGTCGCAATATATTATAAAAGTTTTTTTCGCGGATTAGTTATTTGGATCTCATATCATAGCATCTTTTGTGTTGTCGCAGAAGTTCAAGAAGCGGTTCCATAAGATGGCAGCTATGCTTTCTTGCCATGGTGCTAAGTCCAGTGACGTGTATGCACCAGGTAGCCG